AAAAAAAAAAAGAGCTCTTCTTCTGAAAACACCATCAATTTGTGTAGGATTAAAAAAACTGAGTTCAGACTTGACATTTTCCATCAGAACAGGAAAGGAGAAAGGAACTCAGTGTAGGTCTAGAAAAGCACTGTCCAGTTTTAATATGCTCTCTGCTTATGATTTCTTCAAGTTTTGTTAATTCAGAATTAAACCCAGCTGGTTAAGTATTCCTAACCTCATGGACATAGCTGTAGCACCATTCAGAAATTTGTTATCTGAACACTCAACATGTGATCCAGATAAACCTCCAGCTGCCCATCTATGTCCTCAAACAATGTCAACAGCTGTATATATTATGGCATTCATGTAGCCAGACTGGCTTCCATGTAGCTAGCAACCTAATAATGAAGGTCTGTGGCGTCCATAGAAAACAGTGCATGCACAACTATATCAAGTTTGAGTGCAATATTGAGGTGATACAGCAAAGATCTGTCAAACGATAGAGAAATAGGAAGTGGTAAGAAATGTCCCTTGAAGAAAATGTCACTGGTAGGAGAGATGAGAGAAATGTTGATGTTCAAATGATTGTGAGCATGCAGTGAGTTTCTTGAACGATACTGGACTTTCTGCAATGGAAAACGACACATAAATACTGATCTAAGGGCATTCTGGGAAGATAAAATGATTGTCTGGATCAGTAGGTCCTGAATCTATTAATCTATAGCTATTTTTTTTAAATCCTACTTTTGTTATATTGGGAAGAATAGTAGGCATTTGAGGACATTTTCTCTTCATACAATTTTGGATAGTGGCAACTTGGTTTTGAGCAACCACCTTATTTTAGTTTTTTTGTCTTGTTTTGCTTTGTTGCCTCTGAGACGATTTTACTATTTATATACTTTATTCCCTTTGAACATGCTGAATATTAGCTGCCCTCAGTGGTTGCATTCAGATCATTACCTCTTGGTTTAAAAAAACTAAGTTACAAAACAGCCTTTCCCATCTTTTCAACAGTTGTAATTGTTCTGAAAATTTTCAGTTAGACATAATTTCCTTTAATCTAAACCAACTTCAAAAAGGGGTTAAGATCCTGTTTTGTTCTGGCCTGGTGAACAGATCTATCTATTTTGCTTCCATTAGACTTTAGATAGACATTAGACAAAATAAATGTTCTTTCAGATTCTGGGAGCAACATCCTTTTATTGTTTGGATCTTTTTACTAAGATACATTCTTAGTGATTTCTTCTTCATGTGAAAGAAGGAAAGAATAGATGTGAATGAAAGGTTATGACAGAAATTAAAAGATATGCTCACACACATACTTAAGAAGCAATTCTGATCTTCTTTTGGCCTAGATCCAGTTGGTCTCCTTAAAATCAGACAAAAGTACGGCTGAAGAAAATAAGTCTGAGACAAGAATCTCAGAGTGACTTCTTTACTTTGCCATTTGTGCTGTGAAGCCCAGTAAAGGAAAAGAAATAAAGAGAGCTTTGAAGCTGTTAGATAGTATTTATAACTTTTCTCATATATATGTATATGTCTTTGCCAAAATTAATATAATGAATAGTGATTTAAATATAAATACTTTGATACATGTTGCTGAATAAGGCTTGACATCTGGATCTCCTCAGGACCACCTCCTCCAACTGGGTTCAACCTGTCCAAGGTGTCACTCCCAGGAGAAGGGTTTGGTAGTACCCCATTTCCAGAAAGTGAGGGGGGTGGGACCTGGAAGTATTGTTTGTCTGAGATGGCCCTGGTCCTAGAGATGAAATTGGCTACACAGATTATAGCCCTTCTGGAAACTACTTCAAACTCCATAATTCACTTTTGGGTGAATTATGGCACTGTCAGGGTTGTGCTATGTAATTTTAATTTTAACTTTATTTTAATTTACTATGGCTGTTTTATTGCAATATTTTATAATTGCTGTGAAGCTCCAAGGATCACAAGATATAGCTGCATATAAACAAACAAATAAACAAATCTTTGTTTTGAAAAAAGAATTGGACAATTATCCTTGTAAGAAATTTTACTGGTTGAATCTATATAAATCCTTGATTGCTGATTAGGCCTGACAGTGCTGACAAAAAATATTCATTGGCTGCTTATTGCTTCAAAGAAGAAAGGTTGGATCCAGTCCTTCGTTATACTGTAGTTAAAGGTTTCCTTTGTGTTTAATATGTTGCATAAAATAAGGCATGTACTTTTTAAAAGAGTGGAAACTTTCTGGAATTACTTCCAGCTATATTTTGATACTTTGCTTAATATTGAAGTAATTAATTGATTGTAGGTTTTTTTTCCCCCCCTAGGCAAAGGGGATGTCTTTGGTGATGTCTTCTGGAAAGAAACAACTCTTGCCCAATCATGTGCGAATGTAAGGGCTTTGACTTACTGTGACCTTCATGTAATTAAAAGGGATGCCTTACAGAAAGTGCTGGAGTTCTACACAGCCTTTTCCCATTCTTTCTCCAGGAATCTCATCCTGACATACAACTTGCGAAAAAGGGTAAGGTATTAAGGAATGGATGGAAAGAAGAGCTAAGTGCTTATTGGAATTGTACTTTTAGGTAATAAACAGTATGGATGGGAAATGCTTGGCATACTAACTGTCCTATACTTTTCAGGCTAGAAATCTATCAACTGACTTAATAGTGCTACAGTTTCCAGGTGTTCTGGCAGGAGGGACTTATTTATTAATTTTTTATAAGATTTACAGTATACGGCTGCCTAATTTGTATGATTGGCATACATCAGTAAAACCAAGAAAAACCCAAATTACAGTTAAAACCAGTGATGTCAACAAGAACCAAGCAAAAATCAACATCCCAATAGCATATAGTCAGGGCCCATCAAGCACACAAGATGAGAATAGGATTGGGTGCTTTCATGGAAGATCCTGAATGTCCTTATGCCTATCCCACTGAAAATTTCAGATCAATCATCTTATGCTAGTACACTTTCTGTAACAATGCCACTTGAGTAGAAAGCCAAGAGATGTAAAATTGTTTTTCATCCATTGTTATTTGCTATCTCAATGCAGCAGCCATCTGAAATTGCTATATGTATTGAAATTCTTTCTGAGAACTCTGAACTCTGTGAATTAGGGAAAATAGTACTTTTAACTTAATCATTTATCTAATGTGAAAAGGGTGCACCTAGAGCCTCTGACCTTTGGGTGGCTTATTGACTCTTAATTCCAGCCTCTGACTTGCTCTTTGAAAATGTAAACAAATCAGTTCCAAACTAATCCTATTGTGTCCAACTGATTTGCATGGTGGCAAAAGACAGAGCATGGTTTAAAGGAATTACTGGGAAACATCTAGCATATGCTTCTGGGTTGCTTCTTGATAAATTGTTTCATGTGCTTAGATGTAAATAGCAAAATATAACAAAGTGATTATCTTTCTCTTTAATTATGAACTCTGCATGTCAGGATTTATTGTTGTCTAAACATGCACATAAGGCTGAACCAAAGGGGATCCTTTTACCGGGCCTTTCAGTAGCATCAAAAACTCTTTCATATTTGGATAACTTGTTGTTTTCTTTGTAGGAGGAGAGCTGTGCTAATCTATGATGGAAAAAAATCAGAAGGAGTCTGGTAGTCCTGTTCTGACTAACAAATTATATTAAAAGGCATACCCTTTCGTCAGCAGCTCATGCCCATACTCCTTCTAATTGTTTGTTTCTGTTTTTGACAAGAGAGAGCTAGAATTGGTGTATGGAGAAATACATCTTTTCAGACTCACTTCATCATGTTCACTATGTGATTCGTAATGAGCTGGGATCACCCATGTGACCAATTCCTAGATTGTTCCCATTCTCAAATGAATTTTTTTGCCTTTTCATCCTGTATTATTAGTTTCCTGATTGTTTGGGATAGTCAGTGAGAAACATCTAGATACATAATTTAGAAATAAATGGAAAAACCCATTGAAATAGAACAAATGCCAGTGAATAGGAACAGGAAATTTAATGATCTCACAAGTTGGGAGTTGTGGAAAATTGTTTATACTTAATCTTCCCAAAAATATTTATTTTTGGCTCCCAAACGAAGTATATAAACATTCAGTGCAGTTCTAGCAAGTTTCACAAGAGCAAGCCATTTAACAAATGCAGCTAAAATAGAATATATATATTTTCTATTTTCTATAAAATAGAAAAATAGAACACATACATATATGTGTGTGTGTGTGTGTGTGTGTATCTATATATATATCTCCTCTATTCAATGTGCTATTCAGTGGGTGCGGTCCATGGGCCAATGCTAGTCTGCAAAGTTTTTGTTACTGGTCCATGACAAGATAAGTACAAAATTTAGGGTTTAAATTTTTTTAAAAAACTTTTATAGCAATTTGACATTGTTACAACATCCCAGCATGTGAAAACTGGACTCATCTTATTGGGCAAAGGTATAAACCAGTTCAGGTGTTGTCCAACTCATGCAGTAAGTTGTGTGGCATGAACTGCATACTAATGTTATTGTATTTTAGAAAAGTATCCATCCACAATGGATTGGAAATTTTTAAAAATCTGGCCCTTTACCAGTAATAGTTTAAGAAACACTACCTTATACCTTATAGTAGATGTACATATCTTTCTATTTCAGTATCCACGCTTCTGCAAAAGGTCTCACGAGCAGAGATGAGATGTGTCAGTACTGACATGGTTGTATTCTGCGGAGTCTGAAATTATTCTTACAAATGGAAAAATCAAATGTATTTTCAAGATATTTGGTTTTGTTTTATGAAACGTATCTGACAGAATTGTTGCAGCCATTTTTATACACCACAATGATAGGACAAATCCGTGAAATCTGATATAAACTAGAAAAAGCTTTCCAGGAGTAAAGCTTTTAATTAGCAATATGCAGTGATCATTACCTATCTTAGCAAATCATTTTCTTACTATAATTTCAAATTCAGCATGGAATTAATTATCCTGATTGTTTATAAGTTTGACTGAAACAAATTAAAATCATTACAGAACAATATGTATTTTTATGCTTCTGCCAGAGATGAGCTGTTATTTATGGAATCTAAGTTAGTAGCAAGCAAAATTAATAATGTCATTATTTTGCCTTCCTGAAAGAATGAGTACTAAATTGAGCACGGAGTAGAGCAGAGCTGAGTTTTTGACACGTTTCAAATAAAGTTGTTTGCTGTAACATCAGATAAACATTTTCATCAAGGCTCAAACACATTTTAGAAGAAGGTGAATGGAGTAAATCAGCCCACTGCTTCTACCCATCTCTCTCCTAATGTATGCTGGGAAACTGCATCAGCATTTCTCTGTTGCCACTTTGTTGGCTGCTACTTGTACTGGGTGCAAAGCAACACAGTATTATAATTAATCTTTTTTCTTATTTTAAATGTCTGCATCTGGGGCACACTTGGTGGCACCCATATATCTTGTTTATGATATTGCTTGAATCTACAAATCCAGTTCGGTGCAAAGTCTGATTAATTTCTTATGTGCTCATATATTAAAATAGTATAAGTTTGTTCCATATGAGTTTGGAAATAATATTTAAAAAGCTATTTTTGCAGCGTAACAGCAGGTTGGCAAAATGGCCATATATCAGGTGCCTGGCCATGCATGAATTGGAAGTAATCTGGATGCAGTCCTTTAATTCTTGCATGGGAACTTGTGGCACTCAGCATAAAGTTTGCAAGATAGTGCCCCTTTTCAGCACAATGCATAGATAAGCAGAAGTTAAATACACATTTGTCGAGGATGCTTTAAATTGCATTCTAGTGCCAAGCAGTAAATTAGATTCAATGCCTAAATAGCCTTTTCCAACTCTTTATTCTATTTGAATTAAACAAAAGCAATGGCAATAAGATCAAAAAGACACCACAAAGAGGATAAGTGAAAAGAACAACAGTTCTGCAGACTGATGATTTCTGAGCAACAAGGCAAGTGTTAATTCTCCAACAGGCTTAATGTACCTATAGAAATGTTTTGGTGTTTTTTTTTGTTTTTGTTTTAGTGTGGATTCTAAGGGTGGAATCCACCTGAAAATTCCAACCTCACCTCCAATTATGTCATAACTGGGCCCCTGTGGCTTTTGGCTGCCCTCTAGAACTTAAAAAGAATAAATACCCAACCACCAGCCACAAAAAGATTGGCTGTTCCTTCCCTATAAAGATGTAGCTTTTTACTACCTATACAACACATATTCACCCACCATTGGTAAATGATAATTTCTGCCCCCTCCTAGTCCTTTGGATTATGAACCTAATCTTAGTACCAGGAGTAATATTGTCAGCCCTATAAATATAATTTTCTGTGGAAAGCTAAGAGTTTCTTAATACCCGAAAAGAAATACAAAAGCCCATTTCCCATAGGTATGTCCTGTGCGCCTCAAGAGCTCAATAAACAGGGAAATATAAAAAGTAAAACTAGCATTTCCAAGTTTACAGCAGAACAGTGATGGAAAGGAGAAATAAATTGGTTTATTTTAGAGTTTCCTTTAAAGCTTAAAAAGTATCTCAGTGGACTGATTTGAGAAGATATTTTTAAGCAGGGGAATTTTCCTCTTTTCATGTATCTCTGATAAAACATTTATTACAGAGTGTGTAATAGCAATTTTTATCTGATTATTGAGTTAATTGTTTTAATTGGATTGCAGTAAGTGATAAACTGATTCCGATGAATGGTTAAATCTGATTGATATTGAGTATTTATTTATGTGGAAAAAGTTGTTTGCAACTTGGAATCAGTTATCCTGAATCACCCTGGTACTTTTTGGGAAGAGTAAATAGCAGAAAATGGAAATGTTTTATTAAGAATGTGGATGAAGCACACCAGATGGGAACTCTTGTGGAAAAAAAAAAAAGGATTTGTTTTGAGAAAAGTGCTCAATTTATTATTCTGTAGGAAGCAGTAATGCACTGTTATACAGTAAATATTTAGGTTCTCATGGTTTGAAGTCTGAAACTTTGTTTTGCTCTGAGGACAAAAGAACTGGAATATTGACTTGAGGTATCATTTAAGAAGCAGCAGTCACAGGAACTCACACCTGGTGTCACAGTTTGCATAAGAGGCCTACGTAGCAGATAATGGAAGAAGGGGACAGACAACAATCTTAAGTCTTCCTTATTTCATATTTGGCTTAATTTGCTAGACAGTTCATGTGAATGAAAACAGTAGTACTGAAAGCTATTCTCAATTATTTCCCTCATATCAAATTCCCCTGAAATGTCAACCAGTATCAAACATTTTATAGTTAGAGAATCCAGTATATATATTGTAAATTAAAATAATAATTAAAATGGCTTCCTTATTTCTATTGTACCTTTCTTTTAGTGATTCCAAAGTTCTTTAGGGATTGTGAACAAAGTATGTGCCATCACATCAAATGAAGATTGTTTCCTGTTCTCTTGATTTGGGCTAACTTTGATTCAGTGGTTACATGAATTAATTAAACCACCTTTGGATTGATTAACTGGCACAGTAACATTCATGTTGTATTTTTAAAAACAAGGTGTATGGATTTTATGCAAG